CTACATTTAAGACTTAGTCAGGCACCTTCTTTTTACTGGACGTGGTCACAATCTTTTGGGCTGACACTTTTAAAGCAAAGATTTGGGGAAGTTAATTGTAATTTATGGATCAGTGGTGACTAGATTAATGCTGCCTGCTTATTTTAACTATGAACCTGAGCCAAAAATTTACCTCCTGGCAGAGTGCAAGAGCCATCAATGTGGTACCTCCATGTACCAATTGAATTGTATCTCTGAAATCCAAGAACCTGTTGTTCCCTGGAGTAAGGTGTTAATACAACATTAGAAAGCAAAGCAAAATCTACATTCTAGCAATCAAACTATTCAATCAGTAGTTTTTTTTACACTTTTCTGTCCTGAGCTATGTTCCAGCTGCAGGTTTGAGAACCACTGTGGCTGCCAAGTGACATTTGTATCAATGCTGGCAAGTCTTTATTTTAGTGATATGGACTTAAATTAGATATGACATAGTTATGATACAACCTGCCTTTGGTCCAGTTTAGGACCAAGCCCCACTATTTTTGCATGCATTTCCAAGCCCATTTTGAGGTGTGTGCTCCATCTCAGTCTGTTCAGGAGGAGCTGAGACTCCAGCAGTACACAGTCACTGCCCTGCAGTTTGGAGCTTTCCTTTTCCCAGCCCAGGAGCAGCAAGGACAGACCTTACTGGAGTGTCCTTGGCTGCTGTCACTTGTGGTGTTCCAGCCCTTGCACTTTTCTCCTGGGAGAACATGATGGCACTGACTTAATGGGGGTAAATGGAAAGATGAAGGCTGCTCGTTTTCTGTGCATGGTGAGGGTGAATCTCTGGTCATGAATTCAGAGGCAGGCAGGGAGTGCAGAGCAGCCTTCTGCTCCGAGTGCTGACAGTGATACTGGGTGACGGCGTAAAACAAAGCTGCTAGAGATTGGGTAGAGGGGCAGGGGAGAAAAGAAAGAAAAATATTGGACAAATTCTAAAAATGGAGGATTTTCAGGAATGAGAATGATCACCAGTTTTACAGTGCTTCTGAATGGCTTATATTTTGAAGGGTGGCTCTTTTGGAAAAAGAGCTGCAAGCTCCAGACATATTTTTAATGAGTTTGCAAAATAGTGGATGTAGTATTTGCAGCACCAGTCATGAAACAGTACTATTGGAGGCAGTCTTTAAAAATTAAATACTTCTGCCTTCCAGTTTTGTAAAAATTATTCCTGTGTTTGATTTTTTTTTCAAAAAGCATAACCTTGTAAAACTTAAATGCTTTAAGCCAAGTAGTGTGCATTATGATCAGGCCATAAAATTGGAATATCTGTCAAATAGAATAAGAATTTCAGCATCTTGTTTCCAAAATAGTTGTACATACTTCTTGCTTCCTTCATGTGTCCTTGGCAGTCAGTCAGCTATAAGACTTTTTGAGTACCATTGATGTACTCTGAAAATATCCTCTACACTTTGTAAATCGTTAAGAGGATAAATTATGGAAATGCCAGTGGATAAGGAAGAGAAGCAAAGATGCACGTTCACTTGGGACATTGCCTTGAGGCTGATGTCATTTGTTGGTTGGATGGTCTTTGAAATAGAGGCATTAGAGGGAATAAGTTGTAGTGAGGAGATCAAATATCTCATTTATAGTCATACTTGTAGCACAGAAAGAAAACAACATCAAATATTATTAACAGGTGGTCTAATGGGAAGACAGCAGTAAACAATACTTCCTAGAAGTGGATAATTCCTCTCTCCCTGATGGGCCACATTCAATTTATAAAATGCACATCAGTATTTTTTATGACCACATACTTTACTTTTTTGTCTTGTTTTCTCTAGCTTCGTATGATTTAAAATCAAAACAAGCAAAATCCTAGTCAGCCATGGAAAAAAAAAAAAAGAAAATTACTTGTTTATTTGTTGAAAAAAACCCTCTTAAAATTTTTCCTTTTTCTTTAATTTAAAAATTGAGATCCAAGTCCCAATCTAACAGCAGTAGGGATTTTGTTTAAACGAAATGGAAGAGAAGAAAAAAAAGAAAAAACCAAAAAACGTTGTGGGAAGAACCCCAGCAGTGGGATGGGTAAATGGCTCCGTGCTGATCGAGGAGCACGCTCTAGTGGCAGGTTAATCCAGCCTGGCCTTCTGGGGTTCCCATCCTCCACTGGTATTAATCAGCTTCTCCAAGAAAGTGACATTTTCACAGAATCTTTTTAAATTTGCCATTTCTGTTGCTCTCCAGTGCCAAAACAAGTGCAATGTGTTTACATGTGGCATCATCACACGTATTGGTGGTAGTGAGATGAAATTCCTGCTCTCTCATTAATTTTGCAGTGGGGAAGTATATGTCTATTTTTGCAGATGGTTTTTAAATGCACAGATATTTTAAGCTGCAGAGGGAAAGATTTCATGCTCACGATGCACAAATTCTTATGGAGTGTGAGCATTTTAGTAACAGACACAGTTGTTAAGCTTGCCTGTTAGCATCACGTAAAATGTTGGGTTCTCAAAACTCTGCACATTTTTGCAGTGTTTTCTGTTCTAGTCCTCTTCCTGAGGCTGGAAAATTTCTTTACTCCTTCCTCTCCTTTTCAGCTTTTTTTTTTTTTTCTGTGATGAGACTGTGGGTTTACAGTTTGATTCTCTTCAGATTTCTGAAATACACATAGATAAGAATCTTGTAAGAAAGAAAAAGAAAATACTAAGTAACTATGAAACAATCCACAGCTGAAGAGTAGATATAGTAAGGGAAATTATGCCCTGGGATTATAGGTGAGCACCCTGAGGTGTGCTTCATTTCATCATATCACTTGGTAAAAATATAATTAAATGTGAATTTTTTATCCTACATCCTTCACTGTATGTGAAGGGATTCGTGCCACAAATTCTATTCGCATCACTGACATAAAATAAAAAAAAAAGAACATATAGTCTTTCAGGAATTTGCAGCACATGCAATAATTTTTACACTTACTTATTAATTTGAAATAGGTTAAAAATATAATTTAGAGGATTGTCTAATGGTCCTGTTATGAGCTGCAAGTGTCTGCAGAAATAGCTGACCGTCAGGATCCATCTGAAAAATTACTTTTGTTGCTTAGTCATTCCTAAAAGCCCTGTTAAGTTAGGCCATGCATTTAATTCTTGCTGTTCCCTCACCATGCCATGGCTGAGGTAACTGAGCAGGCTTTGCTGTTGTTCATGCAATGGTGAATTTCTGGTGTTCAGTGTGTTTTGTGTTTTCTGTGTGTGCTCTGTAGGGAAGTGTGGAGAGGAAAGGAATTTTTCTTAAAGCAGCTTCTGTTGAGGGTGTGGTGCCTCTCTGCTCTCCTGCAGGGCCTCCGGGTTCTTTCTCTTGTTTGGCATCATTTTGGGGGTAATTTCAGTTATTTACTTCAGCAGAGTTTGTTCCAAATGAATGAAAAATCCTTAATGTAAACATAAAGTGTACAAGGTTCAAAGCATAAAAGTTGAAACTCACTGCTGTCTTGTTTGTTCAACCAGCAGGATCAACATCCCCTTTTAATGACCTTTTGCACTTGGAGTTAAAATTTTATAAGCTTTTTAAACTTTGCTTCTGATCATTTTTTTCCAAATTAAATTTTAGCAATGCAGTTGGCATATACAGTTAGGTTTCTAGAAATGATCAAAGCAGTACATAATAGCCTAGCAAAGAATTAAAATTACATTAATGGAGGGTCAGGGCCTTTTCGTTTAGTTCTTGTGAACTGCTGTCAGTGTTACAGGGAGGACCAGGACATTTTCCCAGTCCAAGGTGGTGGTATCACGTTTTTGGAGATTATTTTCCATTTGGCTGTTGGAAGCCTTTTCAGGAGGGAAAGAGGAGAAGTTTACTTGATTTTTCTTGGGAATTTAAACATGGAAAATGATTACTGACCAAAATACCCTGTGATTCCCCAGTCAAAAGAGGAAAAAACATTTTTAAATCGTATTGAGCTTAGCAACAGAGTAAATAGCAGAGGGGGAGGTCAATGGTTGCTTTTGGGATGATGAAAGTCTGAAATGCTAAGTCCTGTTTAAGGCATATATTGCCTTCCTTGATTTTAATCCTAGTATTAAGGAGGTGCTTGGGAAGTTTTAGTGTTATTTGTAATTTGTTTTGTGAGCCTTTGTAGATGGAGTTTAGTACTTAGAAACTTGTTTGTTCTTTTCCAGATCCTCTTCCAGAGGGCAGAGTTAGCTGTTTTGAGTGCATCCTGCTTCAAACAGCAGTTTTTTGACATGTGCATTCTCTTCTTGTAGTGCCTAGTGTTCCTGTGCTTCTGCCTTCAAATCTTCTCCTTAATCCCTTAGTTTACACAAAATCACTTTCTAATGATTTAATCTGTAACGAATATAGGTAGGAATCACCATGTTACACAAATACAGGATCAGTAATTATTCTGATCACAGGTGTGTAATGTATTCGTAGGGATTGTTTAAATTTTGAAGTAGAAATTAACTTCATGAGGGTTTTTTAAGGATTGTTCATATAACTCACTCTTTGTAATTTGTTGGTGTGAAATTCAGCTCCTGAGTGGTCACTTGGAAACACTGGATGGTTTGATCATGGCCTTGTGTTTCCTAGTTTTTATCTTCCTATTGAATCATTTTAGTATGTATTGGTTAACACTGCAATATCTATTGCATCAATCCTTAGCCCTTTGTAAAGTTTTTCTGGAGTCTCATAAAGTTCCCCTTTGTCAATGTGGACAGACAAAAAGAACAGAAATTCCTTTGAAGCTAATGTGCTGTTCTGTAGTGGGAATTTGCTTTCAGCTAAAAGAGTGAGAGGGGGATAGAGTTGAAACTGTGACTGTAATTTGTTTTTTAAATAAATTCCATGTAAATAATCAAGGTCTCTAATTTTTGTTTGTTTATTTTCTTAACTAAGCATATATTGTTATCAGTACAAAACTGAATGTTGTTTTAATTCTTTCAGTAAAAAGACTGGTAGAAAAATAGCTTTTATCCTTTTTTCATCCTTTAAAATAAATATTGATAGAAACTATCATAATATGGTTTGTGTTACAGGTGGTGTAATACCAAGGGCTGTACTGCTGCCACATCACAATTTTGTGGGGTTTCAGAGAGTAGTTCTGGTAAGGACACTCAATGATTTATCTATTTATTTGTCATAAAAGTGGACTGTAGTTTGGTACAATTTAGTATTAAGTGCATTTACAGTATTTGTTAGGTATCAGTTTCTGCACTGAATCCTTACATTAAGTGTTCTTTTATTCAGTGGTCCTTAACAGCTCCTTTTGGAGCTGTTAGTGTCTCATGTGTAAACCTGTATTCATTCTGTTGAGAGTTACAATATAACACATCAATTCACAATATGGAAATATTAATAAATAGACCTTTTGTCAAAACACATTGTAAAAACTGTATTGTCTCCTTGAAGTGTGGAGTCACTATTGCCTCTGTATGTATCAGTTCTTAAAAAAGGGTGCAAAATTACAGTGTTTTGATTATAGTATGTTTTTGTCAAGTGCTCAGGTCTTGTCTTCCTAAAAGAAAATAAAAGTGTGTTTTTCAGAGGGCAAATATCCAGACAGTGTGCTGTTATTAGTGTCTTTTAAAATGTGATATACAGTCATGATTTTGCAGTTGTTTTCTTTAAATGTATGTAACTGCAATCCCTGTATCATTTCTTTGGAGTTTGGAAACTTTCCTTAAATATATTTTCTTATCTCTTCTCCACGACTAGAATTACAAGGGAGATGAGATTACCTATGCTTATTCTTAGAAAGGGAAAATTCCTTGTGCACCAGGCCACCAGCAGCCTTGCTCAAGTATTGTGCAAGAGCACAATTGAGCATTTGTTCTTTCAGCAGGAGACAACTGAGACCACATTTATATCTGTAGAATTTTTTAATATATACCATAATTTAACAAATGTCTTGTGGGTGTAGCAGATGTCTTTTCTTTCCCTAGCACCCCCCTCCTTTTTTTTTTTTTTTTTCCTTTTTTTTTTTTTTTTTTTTTTTTTTTTTTTTTTTTCCTAATTCACAATACCTTAAAATTTTTGGTAATTTCTCTTTGTGTGCTGTTTTAGGTCATTAGAGGGCACTCAAAGACAGAGGGAATTCGTTGTAACAAACCTTACCTTGCCAGTACCCCACCAGGTAGAGAAGGATTTTGCTGATGTTCTTTGTGGCCTTGCAGGGTAGTGTTGTACTGGCTCTGCTCCAGCTCATCACTTAAGCAGTTGAAGGCAGTGGGGCTGGAATATGTTTAAATATTCCTCTGGATTGATCCATATTCATGTGTACTTTCTAAAAACAAGGTGAGGTCCACAAGAACTTCTCAATGGGATTTTCTGGTCAAGCTTAGAAACAAATATATATTTATTTGTGTTGTGAGATGTGTTGGAGATACTGAGGAGAGAGGGGTGTGTTTACTTGAAAAGTCTCTGGACTGATAAATGAAGGAAGCAGAAGGTATTGGAAGCTGTGAGTGAACAAAGACTGAAACCATTTTCACTTCTGCCATGCATTAGGTTGGTTTAGCTAAAATAATAGGGCATGGCACTACTCACACTGTGTGATTTCCAGTCCTACAAGTCCATAATGCCTTGAGCATGCACCACTCAGGCATGTAGGCTTACTCTAGAGTGTCTAGGTCTTGGAGTGGCACAATATGGCCTTTCAGATTTACAGGAGAGAAATGGCTTTGAGAAGGTTTGAGTAGCATCACTCAAGAATGTTAAATGGCAATTCTGCAAAGTAAAAACATCATAGCTTTATAAATATTGTAAGAAAAGAAAGATGATGGGAGCTCTTTGGAGTCTGAGAAATAACTGAAAATTTTTCAAAATGTTGTGAGCCATTTGTGCAGTACTTATTAAAGTATAATGTCATCTGGAGAAGTCATGGACTTCTTCCTCTCTATCATCTCTTTATTTTCAAATAATGCTCCCATTACTGGAAATGAGTGAGCAGAATTTTACGTGCATAGAATCTGCTTGAGGTGAGGTAAAGATAACCAAGGATGGTGAGTTTCTTTTTGTGAAAAGCCATCCTAGCTAATTAGTTTGACTCTGAACTAGCAAAAGCAGTTACTGTCATTGGTTAATTCTGCAAAAAGCAGAGTAGAGGTCACTTGTGGGACAAGCTGCAGACCATTTCAGTGCAGCTGCCTGTGTAATAGTGGCCTGCAGTTACAAGGCAGGGTGTATTTCCATCTCTGCTAATGTTTTAGCTTGACTCAGCAAAACTGGTTTTTCTACACAAAGCTATGGTTGTGTTTCCAACTGCATCAGTGCAGGAGCATTTTAATTCAAAATAGCACCTTCTGCTGGAGGGGGGTCCTTATTGGACAGATGAGGCATTGTCAGGTTTTGAATAGTTTGGTTCAAAGGGGATTAATTAAAAAATTAGTGAGAACAGATGTCTGATGTTGGCCTGAGCAGTCAGAAAGAAGAGGAAATGTCCTGGGTTTGAACTTTTTATCTTAATTGGATCCCTTGTGACTTTCAGCCCATTTGATAAGAGTTTCTGCTGTAGACTCATTCTCCTGCTTCTACTGTACAAAGCCAACAGCTTTAAATTTTAAGGTATTTATATGTGGGTATAGGCACTCGGGCAGGTTTTTGCATACAGCTTGGGAGGATGATTCCTTCACAAAACAAAAACTTTATATACCACAGACTGCTTTAGTATAGCTTTTTTATATCCCATGTGCTATACAGAAAAGCAAAATAGTGTTTTTTTTTAACTGCTTTTAAATGTATTTTTGAATGTCATTATATATTCTTGTACAGGTGTGTTCAGGCTCCTTTTACCAGTTAGACCTTCTGTAGAGTGCCAAATTAGCAAGAGGAACATTTGGTATGCTGCTTTAATCGACTAAGATCAACAATGCAATTACTTCTAGAGATGCAGGTGACTTTGCAATGTGTAGGAACTGTCTGGGGCTGTGTTATGGCAGGCACAATCATCCAATCTCTGGGAATTTTTCTTTTACAGTAGTATAAATATACCTTTAGACTTAAGCACTGATGAAGTATCAGAACTTGGCACTTATTCAAAGTTGTCCTTAGTGTGGGATAATTTGAGTTAGGCAAAATATTCCAGTTTCTACAGGCAAGGAAAGAAGCTTGTTTTTGTTTTTCAGGACTTTCTGTAAAAGAAAAGACTTCTCTTGATGATTCAGATGTTGGAACAGTTACCAGTTAAAAAAAAAAAAAAGGTATATTGCAGGGCAAAAAATCTGGTCAAGGAGGCTGACACTGACAGTGTCATGTGCCTTTTCCATGTATTATAGACATATCACTTCAGCATACATGCTATTCTTAATATCCTGTCAAAAGACCCTTGGTACAGCTTCATTTTGACAAAAAGAAAAAAGCAGATGCTGAAGGCAGGAGGGGGATCAGCTTAATGTCTAGACAACTTTTGGAAGCATGAGTGAATTTTTCATCAAATATATATATGCTTGAAGGGAAAAATCAATACAACTTCTTATTGAACTTTGGGTATAGCTAATATAGATGGAGATGTCTCTGCCAAAATACACAGCATAAATACCTAGACAGTACAGGTTTTGCTCATGAAAACCTCCACAGTCAGATTTGAGGTATGGTACAGAGTAGGATGTAGAGATGGAATGTCTGCATTGAGGGTGGTTCCTGTAGCAGGAACTGAAAATTGTATAAATTAAGGGAAGAGATACTCGCAGGCTTGGAAGAACAATCTGTCCCTTGTTTCAGAGTTCCTGGGGGTGAGGTGTTTTTGTCAGAGCTGCCTGTGTGCCCATCAGGGTCTGGTGTTGTCCAAGGATCGTTACATTCTCGTGCCTTGGTTGTCACCCCGCTGCCTCCTGAGCCCTGAAGGGACCACGATGACAGAATGGTGGCCCAGGAATGCCCAGTCTTTCATTCTGTAAAAGTAAAGCAGCACTTTGCCCTAATGACAGACCCCTACAGCCCCTACCCCACCTCTGGGCCACCTTTTCCAGAGCTGTCTCAGGATCTCGCTCCTCCTCCCAAGCCTCGGCAACTTGGAGATGTTGTTGGGCTTGCTGTTGCTTTATTTCTCTATTACTTCATGATAGATCACACCAGTACTGCAGACTGGCATACAGAGCAGTGAAAGAAGAAATGGGAATTTTTACATTGGTCTCGCATTCCTGATATTTTCGGTTGCAAATGGAAAACAGGATGAGTACAGTGGTGATGCTGTGTCACTGCCTGGGACAATGAATCAGTGCTGTCTGCAGCTGCAGTGGCTCTGAGTGCCCATGCCCAGAGTCTGTAGCAGGGCTCAGATCGTGGGTATTAAACCCCTTCTGTTATATTTGATACAAGTTTAACAAATAAGAGCTTTGCCTCTCTTCGAATACCAAAAGTCATGTTTGTCAGACAGTGTTTGCTTCTTAATTTCTTTCATGGCTTTTGAGAGATGAGTCTTGGTAGGAAGTAGCCACAAAAGGCAAGAACTTCATGACCTGTTCTTCATTAGAAATAATTCCAGTATGGCATCTAAGTGATCTAGGTGCTTCTGAAAAATTTAGCTGCCTAACTTCAAAGTTCACCCGAAATTAAATCTTGAGGTGCCAAAATGGATACAGTTGTTTTCTGATCCACTTCATAAACCTTTTTTCTGAAATAAAATTGTAAGTGTTAAATTGTTTTAATTAGTACATCTTTTTTTTCTTAAATGAGGAATATCTGGTTTAATTTTCTTTCATCTGCTAGTTGGTCTTTCATTATGAAATAAAAAACCTAGGTAAAGATGCTTTCATACTGCCCTTTTGCACCCGATGTTGTTTACACTGGTAACTGATTTCTGTATTTTGTCCTCAGACACTGCAGTTTGATTATTCCTGAACAAAATGTGCTGTAGTTCTAAGATGGCTTCTTAAAGACTCAGAGCTGTGGTTTGCACTTTCCAATACTGGCATTGCTTTTGGTTTTATTTAAGAATAGGATGGTGTTGTAGGTGGCTTTGGTAGAGTGGTATGAGGAAAGGAGGCATTTTTTTGCAGATTAGCAACCAGTAGGGCAGGGATAGTGCAGGAGTGTGGGAGTAGACACAGCTCATGGAGATTCACACGCATTCAGGTTTTGCATTCATGTGACCAATTGCAGAACCAC